ACTATGAAAGCTACATAGTGGAGACCTCTGTGCATTAGAATATAGCGCATGCTGCAGAAACCCAGGCTCCATCACGACAAATGTTAAACCTGGTGGTGGTGCATGGATCGCGTAACCTCAAAGGTGGCTTTATGACGTGATATTCAGCCTCGCTCTAGTGGAACCGCAATTTGTGCTTAATTCTTTCCTGTTATTTCGTCAGCTTGCGATGCACAGAGCAGCACAAGAGATGCCAATCTGTAACCTTTAGTCCTGAGGTAATGCTGTGCTGCAGGACTGTTGCTTAGCTGACTTACAGGCAAGCAACACGTTAGAAATAAACAACTTTTTTCCTAGAATCGCAGTCACGGCCAACTAGGTGTTGTGCATAGCACATAAATTCGGATTCTTCCTAGCACCCTACTACTTCCGAGAGCTTTCATGAACTTTGGAAAAGCAAACAAACACCTGTCTAAGACTGCGAAATTTGGCTTTTCCATGGTTACTTGTGTATTTGCCACGCAGTCGTCCTTGGTGCTACAAGCAGCACACGCGATAAACAGTTGGTGAAGAAATAGTCCACTTATTAAGTCAAGGTCACTTAGTCTCATAGGCTGACAGAAGTGCACAACTCTCCTATAAGTACACCATGGGTGAGACGTGGAGATACCTTAATTCTGCCTCCGAGATGTTGCTCCAAGTCTGCCTCATGTTGCTGGTCACCTTCATCCTGGATGAGGATATCGCAATGGCAGGTGGTGAGTTATCCACCTGTCGATGCCTTTATGCTCTGACCCGTAAACGCACAGAGTCGTCCTTTCACAGATTAAATACAAGAGGGCCAAGAATGCTTCTAACCCCGTTCCTCTTAGCATCTTAGCCGTAGTAAGTTACTCGCTGTCTCAGCACAACATTCGTTTGTTGACTCCAATAAAACATTTGAGCTTCGATGTGGCTTGTGAAGGTGAGAATTTCCCCAATCACTTTGTTTTCCATTGTGTCAACTGCGGAGTGATATTGTTCCTAAGTTGGTAAAAATACGCGCTTCTGCACTTCACGGCTAATGCATGAATGCCAAATCGCCAGTAGCATAAATTGCATTCTCGAAGCCATTAAGCGTGCCTTCATTACCACCACCACCACCACCACCACCACCACCACCACCACCACCACCACC